TGTGTGTGTGTGTGTGTGTGTGTGTTAAAAAGAAAGGTTTAAAAATTATATATAGATATATATGAATTAATGTTTTAACAACTTAAAGCAAGACTTACAAGTTAACAGAAATAGCATATTTGTCATTCAAGTATGATAGTACACAGTTTTTCTTCATTATTATAATCTTAAAAGAGAGAACATGTGGAGATGATTCTGCATACTTAATGTCTTACCAAGCCACTACAATTTGCAAGAAATAATATTATAATAAATAAATATTCAGAGTACACTTCCAGTAATAAAAATTAACCTTACTTATTTACAATTCACCAGAATGTGTATGTAAAAATAATCATAGATACATATATATAAAATAGTACCTACCTATCCGGGTAACCCTCGGAATTTAAAGGACACATATGATTCACTTCCCTGAGATTTACATTAGAAAACACTAGCTTATGATTACTAGAGTAGATAACTGTAGGTCTGTCTGAACAGGCAAACACATTTGTTGTTGACAAGGATCTGAATGTTTTCAAAACTGTTGGCTGAGTTCCTAAAGTGACCTAAAAAACCACATACACAAAGAATTGTACACTTACAAATAAAAGAAAAATATTTTTTTGACCCGCAACAGTAAACCAATTTCAGGAGATGAAAAGTCAGAAAAAGAATATTAGTATCAAAAATCTTAAAAATCTAAAATATGCATATGAAATTTGGAAAAAAGATTTCTCCTCAAAAGTTTGTAGAACAACATAAACAACAGCAGCATTTAAAATTGACAAAAAAATAAAAAACATAATAATAATTTAAAAATTAACCCTTTCCATGTCAAAATACAATGCTACTACTCTAATGGTAATAATGAAATATTGCATAATGTTATTTTAGCTGTTATAGATATATCATTTATAATAATATTCAGTTTTTGTCTGTCCTGTAAACTCAAATGCAACTTACAATCTAAATGCTTATGCAGGCACTCTTCATTTTAACAGATATAAACAAAAGGCAGATATAAATATACCTTAGAAGACATTTTGTACAACATATTAAAAGCTTATCAAAGTATTTAGAAAGGTCTAATGTTAGATCATGGAATAAGATTATAACTTAATTTATTGATAGTATAAAGTATGGTAAAGTTTAGCCCTATCTAGACTTAAGCAAAAAACGTATATCGAATATAGGCCATAATTAATGTTAGGCCTAAGGCAAGTGGACTTGCAGATTTCAGTGTATTATTTTAGAAATCCCATATTTAAAGAATTACTGTTACAATAACGATACTAACTTGATTGCAAATGTTTTGTGCATCACTGCTGGTATAAATAAATACCCAGTGATATAAACATATACATATTGACACACTTCAAATTTTGCCTCAACCTTAGCAAGATTTGATCTCTCACCTTTAAAGCACTTTGCATAGCCAATACAACTGCTGAATCACTATATAACTTCAAACTTATTAATTTTTATAGACTGTCTGCTGCTTTAAACTGTAACTTTATTGTTAGAAAAGATTTATAAAGTTAACTTCTCTAGCTATTGTCAATCATTTTCTCTCAGTACCAAGCTGTTCTCAGTGCATCCTGTCCAACTCTATGTGCATGGGTGGGATCCAAAGTGTGCATGTGATGACCTGTTACAGAGTCTCATTAACATGGTATTATATAGTTGATGTCAGAGTTATCAACTATTCATTTTACCATACATTGCTAAATTAACAACAATTCATGGCAGAGAAGAGTAAATACCAGATACAATATATAAAAAAAACAAATCACCGTAGATATGCATTTTGGAGGTTCTACGAGTTAGACAAATACAATGTGTAATTTTATGATGGACAAAATATTTTTTCATCACATTAACATCACTTTGCCTTGTCAGACTGATGTCATCAATTCACAGACATATCTTGAATACAAATACTTCTGTATCACATTTGATTTTGTCTACAAAAACTAGTACATTTTACTAAAAACTTGCCACTTTTGTGTAGATACACATTTTAAGTTCCAAATTATAACCAACATTCCTTCACCAATACTGGGTTGGCCCACTGTACATTCAGTTAACTCTTTCAACCCAGGCTCAGTCCATGGGACTGACCTCATAACCATTT